CGCCAGGCTGGTTGATGGCATCAGTGCAACCTCCCGCATCTCCAGGAGTAACGCCCAGCTGCTCACAGCTGGGGAAAATGTAAATCGAAGGGTCACAGATGCGGATCTAATCAGCGCCTAACTTCTGGATTTTGAACGGAACAAAAGTTCAGGACACGTATGAGTGCTCCTTGGAGAGCTCTGCAGTTGCTGACCCGGCTGTTGGTCTCAGGCCAGTGCCTCGTAAACAGGTGTCAGAGTCCCAAAAAAAGCCCTCCCCTTGCTGCCAGCCGCGGGGATCCTCGCTGGCGCTCCCAGGGCAGAGCCACACGGGCCAGCAGGGATGACCCATGGGTCAGGAATGAGACGTGCTGGTGGGGTGGCACGCTGAGGCTCCCTTGACATTTGCCTTGCTTCATTTTTCCTGAGGACGAAGCAGGGATTTTGGCCTCCAAATGTGACAGCATTTTAATATATGGGTTGGCAAAAAAAAAAAAAAAGGAAGTAAAAGGAGAGTCGCTTGTAACAATTATTATTTTCGTTTTATTCCAAGGGTTTACCTGTAGCTTTGAATTTAGAAGATACTGGAAGTTAGAAATGAGCAAGAACATGCTGGAGGATTCTGCTGCTAGGGGGCAATATGTAGTAAGCAAAACCACATTAATGCATGTTTCTCGCAGGATCTGTCAATGTTTTTTGAAAAGAACACAAATGCAAAAAAAAAAAAAGTGACATATTGCATACACTAGCATTTCTGCTGTAAAAGGAGCATAGTATAACAAAATATACAACCTGCATTTATATGTGTGTGTGTATGTTATTTTTCTCACATACAAATTTGTGTGTGTTCGTGACTTCCTTAATGGAGCTGTTCCTAAAAACAAGTGCTGCCTAAAAGCCTGTTCTTTTGTTGTTTAAGCTATGAAAAATACGGGCTTGTTAACAGCAAATACGGGAATTACCTGGCAGTGCCTGTGCTAAGGAAAGTAAAAGTTCTGTACGTGTCTGAGGTGTATCATTGGACATTCTATGCTTGGCAGGGTGTCCTGCGATTCTTAGCAAATATTGGCAAATGACAAAGCAATACGTAATGAAGTGTAAGGGAAGCATCGAGTGGATCTGAGCCTGTGTCCCAGGAATACTCAGAGCTTCTGCTGTGTCTGAATCCAGGGATTTCTGAACACCAGCTGTGGATGCAGAGGAGAAAGGGCTGATTGGTGACATTTCTGTGTTGAAATACAGTGAGCACTTCTTCAAGTCTTTGTTGTAGCATTTTATGGTTAGTAAAAAGAAGAGAGAGGGTTAGTCAGTGTTAGAAGGCAGCAAAGCTAGCGATTTGCACAATACTCTCCTCTTTCAGCTCTCAACAAAGAGGTTAAAATGTGACTCTGGCTGAATTAGGATATTTAATGCACTTTGTGCTCTTCATATTACATCTACTGTCTTGCCATAAATAATTTTGAACATGAATTTATTTTGAGATTAAATTATTGTCATTGTTTAATATGATTAATGCAAAATGGATACTTGTTTATTTAAGTCTTTAAAACACTCTATTCCATATAAAAAGATGCTTTGTGTTCTACAACAGAATGCTTTGACCTCTGCCAGATCAGCATAAGTGAACAACTTATAATCCCTGTGCATTTGTAATTACCAAAGTGGTTTGGATGGCTTTTCTTAGCATTAAATCCTGACATCATCTTGAAGTAGAGAAATGCAAGTTGTTGTAATTAAGATTGTATCAATTAAGTTCTCGCATTTCACATCTTTTCCGGCAGTCATAATCAACCAAAATTGTGTGATTCATTGCCTACCTGTTGCCTATTTGTTCTTTCCAATATTGCCAGGTTACCGATGTGTAAACAGAAATGTAAATATACGCCTGTGGCTGGGAGATTGTTTGGGCTTGCACAATAGGACTGAATCACTTGAGCAGGTCTCCTTGCTCCGTGCCATGGACTTAACAAATGCTGCTCAGAAGTGGAGCTCCAGAGCACAGGGAGCTCATCTGGACTCAGTGAAGCTTGTGATTTCTCATATCCTTTAGGAGATACACAAAATACTCAGAGTCAGACAAAGGTGCTTCTCTTCTAGTATCCTTTGTAATCTGCTAAAGTGACTGGGTTTTATGTAGTACTTACCTGAAAGGAGGAACAAAGAGAGAGGCTTTGACAGCAATTAAGCTATTATGGGGGTTTTTCTTCAGGCATTCTTCCAAATAAAAATGCAGGTGGTTTTGCTTACGGCGTTCCAAAAGTTGTTGTGTTGTTATATGAGTATTTTACAACTATAGAAGAAAAGCTTGAGTATCACAGAATCACAGAATGTTAGGGGTTGGACGGGACCTCAAAAGATCATCTAGTCCAACCCCAGGATTCTGCAGCTAATGGCATTTGTGTCAATTCCCATGTGTTCAGGGTGTGTGTATATGCATATGTATCTTGGGAAAAAGCATATGTATGTAGGGAGTTGTTGCAAACATGCTAATCACTCCCATGAGAAGGCTGATTTTTTTGGCTGCAACTCTAAGTTAGCCTGTAAAAAGCTGCTTTGACTATTACAAATGGTTATTCGGGTGATTTACTGAGTTTGAGGCTGCTGCCCCAAGATCGCACGCCTGGCATCTTGTCTGAGATAACCGTTTGAGAATTTTAAAGAAAAGCCAAGAAGAGCAGCACGGATCTGCAGAGATGTGAGTGTTACAGGCCGTGCACATGAAATATGGCAGGCTAATTGCTGCCCAGATTTTATGCAAAGCTGGTGGTGTTACTGAGCGTTGCAGTTCCTAGGAAAGTGGGCAGCTTGCAGGGAGTCGCTTGGGGCAGAAGATTTCCCAGATAAGGGAACTGAAATGAAGATCCACAAACCCGTGGTGTTTGTGAATCGCAGAGAAGCATGACTTTCGTACTAATAGTGTTTATCTTACTCTGATGAGCTCAAGAAATGTGCCAAGGCTTCGGCCACACCTTCCTCCTCTGCTGCTGCAGGGTTTTGCCCATGCTGCCTCCTGCATGTCACCGTGAGGAACCCAGATCGCAGGTTCATGCAGTGCCCTCCCAATATTAAAGTTGGGTCAGGTTGCTTAGGACCATGTGTAGTCAAGCTCTGACCATCTCCAGGATTGGACAGAGTTTTGCATCTTCACTGGGCCCTTTGAACATTATGTGATCACTCTTGTTAAAGAATTAAGATTTTTTTTCAATTTTTTTTTTTAATATCTGGTCATAATTTCCCTTGTTACAACTTGTGTCTGTCCCATCCTTTTGCTGTGCACCTGTGAGAAGAGTCTGGCTCTGCCATGTTTGCAGCTATTCAGGAGGTAGCTGAAGGCAGGAATAGATCCCCATCATTTGTCCTCTCTCCTTTGAGCTGCCTCAGTGCAGATCTTTCTGTCTCTCCTCCTGTCCTTGAGCCCCCCGACCATCTTGATGGTCCTCCACTGGCCTTGCTCAGGGCTGTCAACATCCTTCCTGTGCTGAGGAGCCCAAACTGGGCACAGCACTCTAGCTGTGGTCTTGCAAATAGAGGAGGAAATCTCTTCCTTAGACCTGCTGTCTCTGCTTTCTTAATAGTGGAGTCCAGCACACAGCTGTCCTTCACTGGGGAAGATGATCGCTCCCTATGAACCTCTCCACCAGGACTCCCAGGTCCTTTTCTGCAGAGCTGCTTTCTCTCCAGTCCGTGTCCAGTTTGTGCTTGTGCTTGAGACTGGTCTGTCCAAGGGTGGGACCTGTTGAGGTGCACGAGGCTGCTTCCAGCCTGTTTTTCCAGCCTGTCAGGACCCCTCGCAGTGGCAAACTTAACCCTCCAGCTTATCAGCCGTGCTCCTCGGTTTCACATCATCTGCAAACTTGATTCCCTGCCTCTTCCTTCCCCATTATCTCTGAAGTTCAGCCAAATCCAGATGGGTAGTTTGCTGAAGAAGATATAATTAAAATGTGTTATCTGTCCTCACCTCATCATAAGGTTAGTGGCAGCTCTAGGTAGGAGGGAAGTATTTTTCCTACTGGCCTAATTCTGTACAATTTCTCCTGCTATCTGCTCCAGAGACACTGGTTGCAGCAACAGACTGTTGTAATATAGCTGCTATTAGAACGTGCTCCTCTGCATATTTTTATTGTTTGTTTTCTTTCTGAGGAGTTAATTTAGCCTCCATTCAAGGCTAAACTCTAAAATTTCTTTTTAACCTTCATTCTTTAGGCAAGCAAATCCCGCTCCTACGTGCTTTTAGAAGAAGGCATAATGCTGCAGTATTTTACTTCAGTGTCAAAATAAATCAAATTTTGGAAACCTTTGCCTTCTATTGCTTGTATAAATGCACATATGCAAACGCTATTTCACATTTTGTCAGTTACATGGTCGCTCAACTTGTAGTGAGATTTTTATATTAAATCCTTTAGCCCAGCTATATAGGGTTGAGAGGGAGAAAATGTCAGATTTTTCAAGACTACTGAAATCAGAACAGTTCGGTAAATCAGATGCAGTATGTAGGTACTTAAGGAAAAACCCCACTACTTAGCTTTTTGACTTGAACAAGTGTGTGTTGAAGGAGAAAATGCCCACTGAAAGGGGAAAACACCATGCCACTGAGTACCGCCAGCTAATTCTCAGATTATTTTTCCTTCTCCCACCTCTTTTTTTCCTTCTCCTCCCAAGAACTATAATAATTCTTTGAAACCATACGGTAACCATATCCTGAGGCAGCAGTGCAGAGGAGAAGTGAATGGAGCGCTGCTTTGGAGGAGGAGAAGGAGACATAGGTTGGGCTGAAGAGGGCTATGGGAAAGCTGAGAAGGGAGGCAGGGAGAAGGGGTGGGAGCCCTGCACAAGGGCTCATTGGCAGAAGAAGGCAGGAACAGGATACGTTTCAGCTTTTGGGTGGCTCTGGGAGGAGCAAGTGTTGGGACTGAAGTGTCTTGATGAAGTTGTTCCTTCTTTCCTTTTCAGACACAGACAGTGAGTTTCATGGGGTGGATTTTCTGCCAGAAGATCTCAACGAGGCTCCAGAGGAGACAGGAATGAGGGTGAACAAGAAATACTCCTGTCTGCCCGCTGAGGAGAAGGGGATCCACATTATCAACATCCGAGCTATCGAGGATATAGGATATGACCAGCACGAGAGTACAGTGAGTAAAGGACTTGCCAGATGTGTCATAACTGGCACACTGCGCTTTGCCCCTTAGCTTATTTCTCATTCTTTCCATTCCCAGGATGCTCTGAAATCCTCTGCCTCCCTTTTTCAGAGGTGCTGAGGAGGGTTGCCACCAGCCACAGTACATGCTAATTTAGTAAGTTTTGTTCTTTGATATGAAAAAGAGAAGCAAGTGAGCCTTGTTTAACCTGTGGCATAAAAAGGGCTTGGCTGTTCTCTGGGTAAGCAATCTGGCAGTAAAGCTGTGGCAACCTTTAAATCTCTTTGCCCATATAGAGCAGGGGAAAAAAAAGTCTAAAATTTTATGCAAAAGCTGTTCGTAACATAAGTAACGTTAATATTCTGTAGCACACGGTAGAGGTTAGGTTTCCAGTGTCTTTAATTGTGCCTTGGTTAAATTCTTTAACACAGATTTTAAAGTTAGTGCTATGAATACCCAACAGGACTATGAAGTGGTTGTTTCATAAACACAGAAGAAGGAGTTTATTCAGGTGAAGGAATTGGGATGGAGTGGTCTGTATAACAGATCTCACTGGGGAAAGATGTACCAGAAAAAGTGATACTTGACTGATTGATCCCCATGTGTTGCCTGATCTAGTTGAGAGGAGTCCCTGCCCATGACAGGGAGGTTGGGTTAAATGATCTCTAAGGTCCCTTCCACCCTAGGCCATTCCATGATTCTATGATTGTGCTTGTGCTTAATTGGGAGGGAGCATTGAGAAATTATTCTGACAGAATGTAAACATTCCTCCTGCTATAATAAAACTGAAATGTCTTCATTTCACTCACAACTGATGTGGCATGAACTTTACGTGATCTTCAGCACAGCAGCACTGTGAGAAAAGATGTGGCCTATGAGTACCTTTCAGCCTTAATACCCCATCCTTAGAATAATCTAACCATTTATTTCTTGAAAATGGGACCCACAAGCTTCTTTGAGTTTTTATGGCTGTGTCCTTCTTGCAGTGGAATATAGCCATTCTTATAGACCAGTACCTTTATCGAGGCTTTAGTACCCGCACTGCAGCACCTTCTCCTCAATCACCAGGGAGTCCCCACAAGCTTTTCAACAGGAAAGTTCAAAGAAATGTGAAGAAGCTCTCAGGTCTATTTCTGCAGTGTGACACGTCCCTTTCCTGGTGGCAGTGGCTCAAAGGAACGGGGACACTGGGGATTTCCCATGCCACTTTTCTCCAGCCATGAAGTGCTCCAGAAGAGGAGCTGTGGTCAGGATGTACTGATCTCTCCTGAGCTCCCCAAGCAGTTAGAAACATGGTGCACTCACTGCTGTCATCTTCAGTCCTCACTGTTTCCTGTATTTATTAGCAGCTAACTGCCGTTCCTCATAAAATCAGGGTAGGAAGAGGTTGGGGTCTGAGTCTTAGCGTGTTTTATCTCCTTCCTCTTAGCTGAACATCTTATCCATTCAGCCCAGTTTTTCAGGTATAGATTTAATTAATTAATCAATTAAATTAATTAATAAGATCTTTAAATATTAAGTCTTCAAAAATAATAAGCCTTTAAAAACTAAATACAATGAGTTATCTTAAAAGAACTAAATAGGAGTATCTATATAGGGCACAAACGTGAGTTTCGGTAAAGTTTTGACTCTATTTGCCATGATATACTGTACAGTAAGCTCAGCTTTCATCTGAGGTTTAAAAAATGGGCTGTCTTAGAAACACCTCTTTCCAAACAACTTACATTCACGGTTTTGTGTATGAGATAAGCAGAAGGTGTGCACATCCCAAATGGATTTTGACTGATATGATTTGCAACTGATCGCCAATTGCTGTCATTTGGAGCAGAAGTCTTTTTCCCTATATGGAGACTTAATGCTCTTTTATAAAATTAAAAGCCAGAAAATGTCCCTGTTCTTTTTGCAAAAAAAGAATGCAAATTTGTAGTGTTGCTTTTTTTTTTTTAAGGATCCATGCATCTCTAAGGGTAGATTTATGAATTATGCATGAAAAGGGCTATTGAAAGTAGAAGTGAGTAATTGTTAGTCCTTTTTTATGTTCCTACAGTTGCTCTGTGCAAGTTTTCAGATAAATGCTTGGAGATGGAATTGTGTTTTCAGTCTTACATGTCTTGCATCTCGCAACATTTACCCAGTGTTAATTCAAGATGGGAATCAAACCTTTGCCACCATCAGACTGCAAAGCGACACAGGTTTTAGAAGTGGGGGAAAAAAGTGAGGAGCTCAGTTAGCAGTGAACCCACTTCCTTGGCTGAGGTCCATCTGCATTTTTGGCTGCGCTTCATGACCAGCTGGCTCCCTTCAGTCTGTATCTAAGATGATCTCTTTCTCAGATGATCCAAACTTGCAACGATAGATAAGAGAAGTGAGAAATGTTTGCACATGATATTAATCTGTTTGTCAGAACTGAAACGCAGATGTCTTGGGTGGGAGAGGACAGCTGATCTTAGTGGCGATTAACCCCCAAAGGAGAAAACCAAACCCACCAAGTAGCTGACTTATGAGCTAGTATGCTGGTAATTAGATTAAATCCCAGTCATTTTAGCTATTTATTTCTGGCCAATAAAATCCCAGCTGGCTATCAGTAAAATTGCAGGTGTTAACTTGCAAAATTGTTTTGACTAAGTAGCATGATGGGGGGCTCGTCCTCTGTGCATTCTGTTTGAAGAGGGGTCATTGTGTGCTCCAGGCAAGAGGGAATTTTTAATACAAGGATATGGTCTGGCTGGTGTCTGTGTTGGTGTGTGTACTCACTGTTCTTCTCCTCTTTCCTTCTCTCCACACTCCCGTTCCCTGCTTCCAGTTATTAAATTCCCTATCCAAAAATCCAGACGCCGACTGCAAATATGGACTCTACTTCAGAGATGGCAAGAGAAAAGTAGACTACATCTTAGTTTATCATTACAAGAAGTCCTCGTCAGGGAAGACGCTCACCAGGAGAGTCCATCACAATGATTCAAGTGGCCGAAGCACCAAGCAGGACCAGCCACTTCCCGGGAAGGGAGTGCAGCTGGAAATGGGGGAGAGCGAACCTCACGTGGATTACCACGAAGACGACAAGAGGTTTCGCCGAGAAGAGTACGAGGGGAACCTTGTGGAGGCCGGTCTGGAACTGGAACGCGATGAGGATGTAAGGAGCCATTTCAAATGGTTAAAGAGGATATCTAGTGATCAAATAATAACTGAGGAGGATAACTGGTGGTCGAATCCTGGAAGATGCTGAGCCGTTCCTGTGAACCTGGCTCTGATTGAGGTTACAGAAGCTCAACTCTTCCAGAATTTGGTTTCAGTTCTGGCAGCACTATCCTCACTCACCGATTTAACTTGCTTCACAGGAATGGGCTGTGGTGTTGTTAATGCCCCAACGAGGTGAAGTTTCGTAATTTCCTTGGCCAGGACTCGTGGTGCATCTACTGTTGCAACACAGCTTGTTGATGTGTTGCTGTATCTAGAAGTGAGGCTTAAATTGTTCTGAGCACTAATCCCAGTGCGGTGGGTTTACGGTATGCTGTGGTTTGGATCCACTGGTGGTTCCAGTTCTGATGAAAAAAAACCTGATAAGCACAGTGACCTTTTTATACCTCTGTAAAGACTTCAAGGGAATTAAATTTGTTCAGGAGGTTCTGGTACAGGCTCTAGCTCAAGCGCGTGGGTCTGCGCTACAGTTGGCTCTTTCCATTCTTAGATATGAACAGTACAGCTTGTCACGCTTTTCACCTGTACCCTGAAACCAGTATATTCTATTAAAAGACCATTAGACTATATAAAAAATGATGTGTGTGAAGTACTGCCAGTGTGCGATTAGTAGAAGTAGGCACAGGCGTATTAATTTCAAAGAAAGCAATTACAATTAACTGATCCAACCGATACGCCTGTGAGAGAGGGTAAACATTTATGCTGGTTTTATTTACAGGATCTAAAAGTTGAGATTAAACATCTAGGCCCAAGTGCTAAAACAATTAATCTGCCATCTATTATTCACAATTTACAGGCATGTATATAATGGCGTGTATATATTAGAAGCATGTATTTTGCATGGTCTAATGCAAAAAAACCCCACCCTTTCACTTGTCTGTCCCAAGTGAAAATAAGAATTGCTTTCCATCCAACTTGCAAGTTGTTGTAGTAAACTGGGAGTAAACAAGTCGTAGATATTTAAATCCTTTGCAAGATGGGAGGTCCCCACCTGTAACGTGTAACACAATTTCAGATGATGCAGAGGGGCTCAGGGTTCAATCCAGGACACCGCAGAAGAGAGAGAACCCTGTCCTTTCAGTTCCAGATACCAAACTGGGGCAGGAACATATAGAAATGAAAGCAAACTGCAAGGGATTTACGTCAGCTTCCGTGTCCAGCACATCAGTGTAGGGGGAAAAACCTGCAATCTCCTGGGCTTGAAAAGCATGGCCTGGAGTTGTGTGGGAGGCCTTACTGATTGCAAAAAAAGGAAAAAAAAAAAAAAAAAAAGGGAAAAAAAAAAAAAAAAAGGGGGGGGAAAAAAAGAGCAAAAGTTTCTAAAACAGCTAATGCTTACTAAGTCACTTAAACTCTCCTCAGTGAAGTAAATTCAAAGGTAGTTTGAAAACCGTGCCTTATGGGAGGGCCGGCAGTTATTTACCTCTGAGTCATGAATTTCTAGAAAGCCAGTGCAGAATACAGTTGTGTGAAAGCTGGTTATTATAAAAACTGCCTGGGCTTGTAAAGCAGCGAGGTTAGAAAGCTTTATTAAAGTTTCTTTCTCTTCTGCTTGCTGAACGCCTGCGAGGTTGATAATGTTTGTCCCATGGTTTTGAAATGATTGCTCCCATGGGAGTGAACACGGGTGTATGTGGGAGTGCCAGAAGCCAACCCCCACGGCCAGAGCTCAGAGAACTAGTGGGTTAACATCTTTTTGCTTTGCTGAATTCTTCCTACCAATTTTCCTAATTAAAATATCTACAGTGTTAATGTAGGTATTCACATCTGTATCTGAGGCTGCTTCTTTCTTACCGCAGTTCTGGTCCTCTGAGATACTGAGCAGCTTTTGGGAGGCACCAGGGACTCTCTCAGCTCCATTAATTACAATGCTCTCAAGAAATCATACCGTTTGGCTGGGTGCCTGTGCTACAAATTTAACTGGCTTAGCCTGTATTTATGTCCATAGTCGTCAGCTTTTACTTCCCAAACAACTTTCAGCCGTTTAACCTTGTAGTAATTGTCCTGGAAGACAATAGCATTTCTGAGTCACATTTTGTAGCCGCTCGGCACAGACAAGTGTTCTGTGATTGTCCTGTTGTTAGAAACTCGCTGTCTCAAATGAGATTTATCATGTTGGTGTTATAGCCTGTTTATTCCTTAAATATGTATGAAACACAAGGGGAAAGATATTTAAATTCCTCCTATTGCTAACCTTTTCTCTCTCTCTTTTTTTTTTTTTAAGACTAAAATCCATGGGATTGGATTTGTAAAAATCCATGCACCATGGAACGTATTGTGTCGAGAGGCAGAATTTCTTAAACTCAAGATGCCCACAAAAAAGGTGAGTCTTGATTTTTGTTGTTGTTGTTATTCCTTCAGGAAGGCATAGTTTAAACATATGCTTATCTCTGAGCACCTTACAAATGTAGACTTTTCTTCCCACAAGCATTTTTATAAATAGTTACCTAATCCGTATGGAAAATGAGAGTCAAAAACTTGCTGGGTTGAGGCAGCCAGCAGAACTGGAAGGAAGTTTGGAAATTGGAAATCAAGAATTCCCAGCACTACCACCATCTGTATGTGATGCAATGACTTCATACAACGCCTCATCCTCTCAGCATGTTTCAAAAGAAAACTGATGATGAAATCTGTGTGTGCAATTTGGAGACTTTTTCTCACCTGAAATGCTAGACTGCTAAAAATGAACACAAGAGTAACAGTTTGTGTGCTGTAGTCTCGCTGGGTTTAGCGACTCTCCATAAACGTCGTTAGTCACGCTTGCAGGAGTTGAGACTACCACAAAATAAATTACCTTTCAGAATATTTGAAATATCATTAACAAAATGACAATGTATTTTCATCAGTTCTAAATCATTAGTGATGGATAGCTACCTGTTCAGTGAGCAGAGCTTAGAGAGGGATTAATATTTAAGCACATACTAAGTGCATGTCCCAGACTGCAGAGGGAAATCTATAATGGAGCAAGAGACAGTCTCAAAGCCCGGAATCGTTTATTGCAATACTAAACCCACGCTTTTGCTTTGGATTTCATATTAATCCCTGTTATTGCCTCACTTACTGCCAATTTTAATCAGAAGCACGTTAGATTAAAAAAAAACGATCTGTAGTTATCCTGCAGTTAAAGCTGCTTTGCCACAAAGGAAAAGTCGAGATGGGCATTTTGTAGGTGTTTTGGGGGTTTTTTAGGTTTGTGTTGTTTTTTTTTTTCACTCTGTGTGAAATAGGTCAGCTAAGCCTGCAGGCATTGCCTGAGAGAAGCAATGAGCCTGAGGACACCCGCAGACCCCTAAATCCTTATTTCCAGCTCAGCATCTTCCTGTGGTGGGAGCCCTGCCCTGGACCCACACGTAATTTGTGTGGCTCAGAGGAGGAAGCCTGGAACCCTCTGCTGTGACCTGCTAACATAATTCCTGCCTTTAGTGCTACAGAACTGCAACAGACCATTCCAGATATTTTGATTCCTTTATACGGAGGATGGGAAATTCCTGAAACCTCATGAAAGCCATAAGGAGATGAGACCACTTCTGTTGTTTTGCACGGGGGCTCTGTAGCTCCTTTTTCTTTGTCCCATTGCATCAAGATAATGCCAGAGGAGCTGCTGTCTCAGGAGACAGTGCTGAATATCTCTCCGTTGAACACCCTGGTCTGATTATTTGGAATCAAACATGGGCCATGTTCTGGCTCAGAGGAAAAGCAACAAGCTTCCTCTGATTGCCTTGGTTTGACTTTTCCATCCATCTCTGTCTTTCTGAATGTTTTCAAGAAGCTAAGCGATGCTCCTCAGTAGTTTATTGTGATGTATTTATTTAATTGATGATTTATTCCTTAACAGTTCGCTCTCGCTCATGGACAACCAAATGGCAATAAAGTTTTACTGTTTTTCTCTTTGCCTGCTCAGATGTATCAGATCAACCAGACCCATGGTCTTCTGAAAAAGATTAATTCTGTAATTCAGAAGATAACAGAGCCCATCCAGCCAAAAGTAGCGGAACACAAACCCCAGACCATGAAGCGCCTCTCTTACCCCTTCTCCAGAGAGAAGCAGCACTTGTAAGTGAAAGCTTTCATGGACCCTACACATCAACCGAGAGACTGGTAAACGCAATTTATAATGTCGTTTGCAATGAGTCTCTTTCTCAGGTCAAATAAAATGCTCAGTAAAATGTGTAGCCCAGGATGTGGGTGGATAAATTTCAGAATAATTTCGTTCATCTGTTATGGGCAGCTCACATGTGTGCTGCCAGCCAGCCCTCATGTCTGGAAATGCCATGAAGCCCATGGTAGCTTTGCCATGGATTTCAGATCAGCAAGAGTAGCTGTAAATGGAGGTGTAGGAAAAAATCATGAGGTGGGGCCCAGCCAAAGTTTCGGCTGCCCTGGATTGCTTTGCTGCTGCTCTTGCTTGGCCTGTAGCCCAGAGGAGAAGCTTTGAAGGCTGTGTTTAGGCATGTGCCAGCTGGAACAAATAACAGTCCCAGGGCAGGATTTCTTCGCTGGACATCCCGGGTTTTTAGTTTTCAATCAAGGGATGCAGAGCACTGAGAGAGTTGTGGTTTAGGTTTTACAAGCATGTTAGTTGGAGAGGTCGACACATGTGATGTTTGACATGGCATAAAATGTATTTATTGCACATGAGATGTTCCTGCAACAAAGGAGCTTGGTGGCCCAGAGAAAGCCCAGAAGATGCTCCTCTAGTGTAGGCGTGGATGTGCTTTACGTTTTTTGGCAGTGGTGGCTTTTTTCGTTAAGACCACCTGTCTTTGCTGAGTAAGAGAGGCAAGAGTGGGCGCAAAGGGTTTAAGGTACAGATAAAATGTCAGGATTATTAACAGAAATTCAAAGCCAGCTGTGGTCAAGAATGCAGCTTAAATGAACATCAATGGTCTGTTTCATGCAGAAAAACAGAAGCAACTTCTTTAAAATATGAGAGTTGGGATGGACTTTCTTTTTTACAAGGTTGCTACAAGCCATTCCTTAATGTTAGCTATGGGAGATCCCCAGGAGAAATGAAAATAGAGAAGGGCTCAACAAGAGCAGGAAATTACTGGTGCCTTTTTTTTTTTTTTTAACCTAATGGGCTTTCTTCTAATCTTTTAACAGATTTGATTTGTCTGACAGAGATTCCTTCTTTGACAGCAAAACGAGAAGCACTATAGTAAGTACTGTATATAAATAATTTATGGTAATTGTTGCCTTAGCCACGGTGTTAATAGCCCCTTCACCAGCTTTAGTACAAAGCCTGTTGCAAGTTTGCTTTTCTTAACCAAATGCCAGGGAATACCTGTGACATCAATTACCAAAATTAGAAGTAAAGCATTTCCAGCTTTAGCTTATGTGCTGACAAGTGTTTGATGCTAACGGGTTGCTGCCTTTTGGAAAATAATTTGGGTTTTCTTTCCAGTCCCTAGTCAATTTGGGAAATAGTTTCTTAGTAGACATATCACCAGAAAGGAATAGATTTAGATTCTACTGCTGGTTCTGCCATTGGCTACCTGAGCCTCTGTAACTCATTTACCTTTTTTGGTAACTCACATTGCCTTTTTTTTTTTATTTATTTTTTTGTAAAATGATGGGAAATCTCCCAACACAAATTCCAATGAAACAGCCTGATATTCACAGGGAATGTTATTGATAGGGTTAGGGGACAATTCTCTAGAATGGTACTAAAGAAATAAGATTTTTATTTAGCATTATTCATGATACGTATTTAACATTAAAGTTCACATGAAGCAAACGCAACAAGGACAGAAAATTGCGTCTTGTTCTGAGACTTTTCCTCTCATAATTAAACTTCTGCAGTTCCCTTCCAGAGATGAAGCCTAATACAGGAATACGATATCACAAACTACATTTGAGTGCTTCTTTGTGACTTACAGAACATGAAATAGAGTGGGGGAGAAGGTGTAGCCTCCTCCAGAGCTGCTGAGGGGGGATTTGATATCCAGGGCAGCTGGAAGGGACCATGCCAAGCAGCACTTGCTGCAGCACTTTTCAAAGTATAACGTGGACTCGTTGCCCCGTTCCACTGCTGCTAATCGGTGCTTTGGAACGTGACTGTGCTTTCATCTTATATTTAACATTAGCCTTTTGGGATGTTAAGTGGTTTCCAAAAGAGCTTGCATGGCAGTTATAGCTACCTTTTATTGTTAACGGCGATAAGGGGTGTAAGATATCTAACTTCCCTTTCCTGCTTTGAAATTCCAAGTGTGTGGAGCCCATGATGTGGTTGTTCCCTGTAGCTGAAGTGCACTGGTTTGCTGGGAGTGCAGGTTATCAGGGCTGGGTGAGTTTGAGCAGGGAAGGCAACCGCAGCCACATGGGAATGGAGAAGAAAAAGACAAACATTGAATTGGTTTGTGATGAAACGTTTCATTGGAGATTGGGAAAAAAAATAAACCAACCTCAGAAAAATTCTTCAATGCAGCTTTTGCTTGTAGATTCTCTTTTATGTGCCTGGATATATAGTAAAAAAACCTGTAAGTACAAGAAACTAAAGGGAGTAAATGAAGAGTTAAAATCTGTGACAACAGGCTGCCTAAGGAAGGTAGAAAGGCAGAATGGCACCGTAGGACAAGAAGGTGCACGAGACTAACTGAGAAATGGACTGAAACAAAAGGAGCTTGTAGCAGAGGCTGGGAGGAAGAGGAGGGATGCAGGATTTTTAAACTGTCAAAGGAACACTGGGCATATAACAGAATTCTGGTAGTATGTCCCTTTGTTTGAAATACCTCTAGGTCACCCGATAGTACAAGACATAATGAATGTATCCCAGCATCATCTCACCCTGTGTGTATTTCTCTTTTGTATTCTTGTTTTTTGAAGTCCTCTCCTGCCTTTCTCATAGATGTTTTTAAACCACAGGGCAAATATTGACCCTCCCACCTGCCGCAAAGCGAACAGGAATATAGTCACTCCCTGTGAGTCTTTGATGAATAGAAGCCAAAGACCTTTTACTTATTAAAAAATAAAATAATAATTATATAACAGGAAACCTCTGTGTGACAGCCCTTTGACTCACCGGGTCCCTGGCTCCCCAGACAAGCTGGGCAAGGGGCAGCAGGTACTTCTGCCCATGGTTCTCCTCTGCTGTCCGCTTCCCTGCCAGTGCTTGCCCAAGAGCATCACTGCACAGGAGCCTTGTGCAAAGGTTATTCAACAATAAATGGTAAAATAAATACGTCTAGTTTGCCATTGAGGTTGTGCAAGCTCAGAAACGTTAAGGTCAGCCTGTGTTGGTCCAGTTTGTAATTGTTTTGGTCAGAAAAGACCTTTAAGATCATCGAGTTCAACTGTTAAACAAGTCCTTAGGTTGAAGCCAACTCATGCCATGGGAGGAACGAGCTGGCCCAGCACATCACCTAGTCTGGGGAGAGGAGGCCTTCAGGTCTTTGACTGATGTCTGCTGTGAGCAAAAATAGCGTTTCTGCTCTGCGAGCGGTTGACTGTAACTCGCTTTCCCTCGATCAATTCTCGTGGTAGCTGGCTATTTAGTTAAGCCTTTCTGTCTTGTAGGGTAACTCGGCATGGAAATCTTTAATCCCTGCTCTCCTCAATACCATGACTTCTATTAAAGAATGATGACTTCATCGACGTCTTGGTTTTGCCAATATTTGAGCTGTACACAAAAGAGATTGTGCTTTTCACTGGCAGTAACCCTTTCCTTTCTTTTACTTCCATAGGTTTATGAAATATTGAAGAGAACGACATGTACCAAAGCAAAATATAGCATGGGTAAGGACCTTCATTTAGCTTTAAGATCGATACCGTTTTCAGGTATTGAAAATAATTGCGAGTTGTAACTGGCTGCGGAGTTTACGTTTCTCCCCTGCTCTCAAACTTGATGGATGTGGGTAGAATTGTTTTATTTGGAAATGTAATTTAATTAGTGTAGCTCTTTGGAACGTTTTCAAATGTGAATTTATAGATCCGAGTAAATTAAATGGGAAGTGAGCATACAGCCCCTGCAGATGTTATTCAGGTCCTTTGTGGCGGGACTGGATGTGTAACAAACCCGTGGATAACACGCGCTCTGCGTTGGCTCAGTTTTGCACTCACTGAAGTGGATGAGGGCATTGCCGTGAATTTCAGTAATTGCAGTGAAAGCCTATGGCTCAGCCCAGTCGTTTCCAGCAGCAACCTCACATTTGGGATGGCTTTTCAATGGCTTGAGTGACAAGGTCTTAACTGATGACTGCCCGAAACACTGTCCTAAGTGGAACTGAGATTAACCCAGTGGAACAGCTGAGGCCTAAGGCACGTGCTGAATGCTGGCCCAGCTCTTAGCCTTCAAAAGAGTTTTTGCAAGTCAGTGGATGCAAAGTTTGTATGACCATGGCCAGGAGGTTGAGGATTTCAGCCTTAGGGCTTGTGCTGTAAGAACTAAATTCATGAAACAGGGAATCAGGTCAACCTAAAGATTTGTTGGCACCTTTTTTATCCAGCTGTTATATATATAATTTTTTTATATATCATGAAATATAGGTATATACTTGATGGTGGGACCAAAGGGAACAAATAGTTAGTGGTAAACCAAGTTATATATGGTGGAAGAACAAATCCCCTCATATCCAGGCCTCTTAAGCAACAGAAACAATTTGTGTGAGAAAAGCGTATGAGCGTAGGAGAAAGTTTTGGATAGCTGTTCGAATCTTTATAGTATTTATTTGCCTACAAGCAGTTAAATAAAACAATGGGAACTTGAATTACAGGTAGTTCTGTTCAATATTGACCCATCAACTGCTTAGAAATACATCAAATAATAGAAGAATAATTATGCCAGGAATGATTGCCATGCTTTGACTTTTCTGTTGAAGTAACAGCATACAATGTACAATAGTTGAGTCCTTATATACACTAAATTTTGGTGTTCAGCCAGTATTAACAAAAGTACTGTTTCCCCATAGCATGGGAAATCCAAATTAATCTGTGACTTTCAGGACCCTTTCTGAGGCTGGTGCTGGATCGTTTTCATTGAAAATTACATATTTGCACTCTTGAAAGGGGAAGGTCATACAGCTCAGTTTAAATTCTTGCCTTGGAGTTGGTTACTCACTTGATTTTTATTATTTTTTTTTTCTGTCCTTTTTTTTCGGTCTAGAAATGGGAAACACAGTAAAAATTAGTTGAATAGGGCAGAGGCTAAAAAAAAAAAAGGAAAGTGTTAGGATTCCTGGATTGTTCTTCTATGTGAGGCTGGCAAGGTCACCCAGTATACTTAATAAAAATGTCATTAGGCCAGCCTGTCCGTGGGTATACTCGGCATAACTCAATCAGTTCCTTTGTGTTCCAGTGCTGGAATGCTGGGTTACAACTCAGCAAAGGTTGCAGACAGATTTGAGCAAACACAGATAATGCTGCAACATTTCTGCCCAGCAGGAAAAAGGCATCTGCCCAAGGATCTGCAGCAGTCTTTGTTATTTATTTTGCAAATTTGTGAAAATGTGAATCTGTCTTCATTGTTAAATATTGATATGTAGAAGGGTACTCTTTGGTCAGCCGTACGGCCCTGCAGAAATAATTTATCTGCTCAGTGGTTGTTCCTGCCAGAAGCGTGGAAACAGCACTGGATAATCTTAGGTAGGACTCTGAAAATTAATGATACTGCAGGATACTGAGCACTCTTGGTGCAGTTCCTCCAGCAGGTAATTAGTATCTGAAAAGGGTTAATAAACTTGAAAAATTCTCATTTCCAGAACAATCAAAAGCATCTCAGTGAACCTTACAGTGAGCTGTTTCCTGGTTCGTAGTCGCTGTTTCTTCAAATCCAGTCCCACGCTCTTTTCTTAGCCATGAACTGATGGGTAACACGGAGCACACTGTAGCACGTCATTTGTCCTGTCTTCTTCTAAGTCCTTGCACATTCTCCACGACACTAGTGGCCAGATTTTTTCTTTTTTCATTTTTTTTTTCCATTTTTTATATTGGCATGAATCATTGTAGCCTTGCACAAAGACAAGCACTTGACTTAGCTCTGCTTCAGCTGGTTCGTTGCATCCCCAAAAGTATCTTTGGGGATAACACGACACCTTCAGACACGGGTAATACTCCAGAATTGGATGCAGCTATATTAGTGCCAGCAGCTGCAGCAAGAACATTAGAGAAGCAATGTGCTACAGCCCTCAAAGGTCTGGGCCCAGCCGAGTGACCTTTGGGAAGGGGGAAGCGAGCTGCAGTGTTGAAGAGCCCCTCGGCATGGTGCTCCTCCAAATTTCCACGTTAACTCCTCCCCACCCACCCGTCCTCTGGCCCCAAGTTCAGGAGTGGGAAGACAGGACTCCTCCTTATGCCACGTACATTATATAGATGAAGCATTAATTGCTCTCAGCCTCATGCATGTCACTAATAAACGGATGTGTAAACAGGGAAAGGAGAGGGAAGAAAGAAGGAAACTACCCTTTTAAATAAAAGACGAAAATGTGGTAAATATGGTAAGTATTACGCCAAGGTCTTCGCAAAAAATTTCTCTTAACCAATCTGAAATCTGAATTCAAAACTTTGTGTGGATGATGCGTGCGTATGCGTGTTCCCGTGTGCCATCAATTCCAGCCATATCCTCCTTGTGATCGAGCCTTCTGCTACACTTTTTCAAATCTGCAGGCTTGCCCTTAAATCAGTCTGACTTTTCAGAAGATGTAATTTATTTTAATGATTAATTTCAAGTCATTGCCTTCTAATTCTTGATTCTCAAGTATATATGACTTCCTCTTGCTCTCTGCAGTTTTCCATTTTGTAAAATGAGTCGTGTTTTATAACCTGTATGATTAAAAATGAAACTACATGGAAAGGAATGAGATGGCAGAAAAATCGTTATCTGACCAAATGACTGTTATTTTGAGGGAAATCTCCAGGAACGATGATAAAGTGAGGCTGTATAAGCTTGAAAGTGTAAGTAACTGTTGTGTCTTTATTTTTCAAGGGATCACCAGTCTGCTTGCCAATGGAGTTTACAGTGCTGCATATCCTTTGCATGATGTAAGTGATCTCAGAATATATTTTGTACATCTACTATCTGATACCAAGAAATCCTTAATGTGTTACGTATTAATGGCATCATCCCAAACGAGAGAGTTTCAGGTCCTGACTTGTATCATGACTGCAGTTACTTCTGCAGGTTGTTTCCATCATTAGGCTAACTTTGAATGAATTCTTCACCTCTGTCCTGCCTTTGCCCATCATAAGGGACGTTTGAACGTAACGTTAGAAGAGTTGTTTAGGTGGCTTAGCAAACAAAACGTTTCTCTTGTTTCCTGACCTTCTGCTCACAAGGTCCCTGGCATCAGTGCTGGGAATTTATTTCTGGGGCATCAAGTGCCTCGTTCTTCATCCACATCTCCCTGGTATTCATACCCTTGCAGGGATGGGTACACCACAGTGGCTGCGTGTCCGTGCAATCGGCTGCCGCCGGAGGAAAAACCATGAGCAGGAATTTGATGTATTTCATGGGACTGGGTGTGACTGCAGAACTTACTGGTGAAACCTGCTTTTGAGCAGTTCGGGAAGATGTCACAAGTGCGTTCAACTACAGTGTTCGTGGTGAGGGTTGGAGAATTAGGGAAATTTTGGAATTTGTGGTGGCACTCACACCCGAGCTGGCGATCCCCATCCTGCCAGAGGTTGGATACTTAGGACAGCTTTATGTAAGAGTTTCAAGGCTACAACTGACAACGACGTGCTCTTAGCTAGACCCTTACAGAAGAGCTTGGCAGATGCTGAGGGGTCGTGGCACTCGTGCTGCTCTCGACGTACTGGCTGTGCGAGCACACGCGCGCTGTCGAGCCTGGTGCCGGTTTTCCGGCGTGGGATGTGAAGATGAAGTGTGTCTTCCCGATTTCTCTGTTCCCCTCACTCGCGCCGGTTTTACGTGGGACGTGAATGTTTTATCTCGGTGTAACTGAGACCAGAACAGCCTCCTTATCTGCCTGATGTTTATCATAAATGGCAGGCGCTCTTAACCGACGGCAATATTGCTTAGAAATCCAGAAAGGTTAAATAAACTTCTCTGCATGTACTTGTCTCATGTCTTTAGACAGCTAATGATAGTCTTGTATATAAGTTATTTATTGTCTTAGTTTACTCCTTTATCGTATTTAAAAATAGCTCCAAATTAAAACCTCAGATCTAATCAGCGCTGAGTGTTCGGAGAGTCTGGATAGAGACAGCTCTCTCAGCTGCTCTCTTCCCTTTCAAGTGGACTGAGCTGAACCCCCAAATACCACGGCAATACCGCATCCTTTCCCTTGACATTTTTAGGCCACCTTTATCACTTATTCATTCCTTTTCCCCCAGTGACGGACATTATTACTCTTTCTTAATGCGCCTGACGACAGAAGACAAAGTGTGCTATAACAAATGAACTCCTAAAATACAGCGTTATTTTACAGATTGCTTTTTTTTCTGGTTTTGATGCATTAAGTGAGTGGGATACACGGGTATGCAAGACGCATCGCAGCTCTGGGCGCGACTCATTGAATGACACAGATTTTTTTTTTATTTTTTTATTTTTCCACAGGGTGACTATGAAGGTGAAAACGTCGAACCTAATGACAGAAAAGTAAGTTGATGTAAAGGACGTTTAGCATATTTGCAAAAATCCCAGTCACCTGTTGGAATTTGCCCATATTTTACAGAAAACACCGCAAAAGGGCACTAAATGCCAACAGCAGAAATACAGAAGTACTTTCCAGGATTTAAATTTGCCCAAATGTGGAATGAGAGTATTGACAGCATTTACGTATAACACAGCATTTAAGTGAAATTCCTCCTAAAGTTTAAATTATGTCATTTCAGGCCAGCTCTGATGAGAATATGCTCATCATGTTCTGGCACCCGTATCTGACATAAATCCTGCTTCTCTCCGTGGTGAGGTCTGGTCTCAGCACCGCAAGCTTTGCAGAATTAATGTGCTGCTGACTGGGAGCGTGAGGATCAGAACTGAGCGGGGAGGAGGGAGGTGGTTGGAAAAATACACACAAAAGTTATTGGGAAAGGTAACGATGGAATATTTATCAGAACTGAGACATTCTCAGCAAAAATTTAATGTGCCTGCCCTGTGGATGTGTAGCGATGCGTTGCGTCACTTTTCGCCTAAGTCTGCGGTTTAAATTGTGTTTAAATTGTGGTTTTATTATCTGCGGACTGAAAAAGAAAAAACACATTTTCCAACCCTTTGCAGAAATGCTGACTTTTTAAAATCCAGAGCACAGTTACGACATACTCCCGATCCCACTGCCCTAAAGAAGAGAGGCACTTTTTTCTGTCTATACGGCAAAAACTGAAGTAGAGAGGTTACGACCAGTTCTCTTGGGAGGAGTTGCTAAATTTGGGTGCCATATGTGTCGGTCTTTCAGACTTCAAACTTTGCCTTTCCAGTTTGTTTCATGGTCAGGGCTCCAAAGAAGTGCTGTGGGCATTCAGGCTGTCCGAGAAGCTGATCTTCAGGTTGGTCATATAAAAATAGGTACCCATAATTAAAGGTCTGCTGGACGTTATGGTGCGAATTGCTCATCAAAAGTCAGCGACCGTTATTCCCCCCGTCTATTGATTTGTGTTAAAAATACCACATACCTGTCATTTCATTATTAAGCAACACATTGCTCAACCAAAAATAGGATGAAAGTCCGTGTTTTCTCAAAGCGGCTGGATTATCATCGTCTTTATTAACTTTTCAGACCTCACAAATTCACTCATTTCACAAGTTCGCTCTGTGTTTGGAAATGTTTACCTTGGCTTTTGACTTCCAGTTCCCTCAAATAATCTCCTGGTGTGTTTTGGCATGTCTGTTCTGGTGTCTTGAAGCTTTCTTAAATCTGATCCAGTGCTAGGCTAGGCTTGTGCCTTTTTTTAACAACAAAATTAAAGATTTGAGGCATAGAAATGAAGTAAATATTTAGGGCTAGTGTGCTGATCTCCTCTAATCATGTCTTTGAAGCTCTGCTTTGAATATCAAGCTGATAAATGTCAGGATAAATGAGATAATTCATTTGTACTTTAGACACGAATTTGGTTTGAAGGTTTGTGCAAAACCGAAACATGGCACTGATGCAAAATCTTAGTGTTTTCCTGATTAGCTTAGATCACAGAAAAGGAATCTAATCTAATCTTGGCTTGTAAAAATGAAGCAAAAAAGTAATAGAAGGAAGGGTCTTAGCTAGTGCATGTGCATGTTGAGGTGTCCCAAATCCTTAATTGTTTCCCATACACAGGCAGATGGCCTTAAACTTTTGGAAAGAAACCTAAAGCAGAACAAACATAAAATTTGCAAGAATGTTGCTGTTTAATAAAGGCCTGCCTTTAGGTTTCCAGTTTCTGCTCTCACCATTGTGAGGAGGCTACTAAAGATAAGTCTGCTTGCGTTTTTGACGTCATATTGTATTTTTATTTTTATTTAATGGCTGTTCTTCTGTGTAGGTTAACAATGTTGTCCTCCCTGTAGTGCTAACTGGTTTACAGCTCGGTTCCTCGTTGCAGTTTCTTCCACAGCTCAGCAGGTTCTGCAGCCCTCACCCACCAACAGAGGTTTGCATAACCCAGCTCTGAAATTTTCTGCCCTTTTTTTTTTTCCTTTGTACCCAATGTTCAATGAAAAGAAATACCTGAGCAATAATCAGGTCACACTCTTACATTTGAGGAAAAAGGATAAGGATGTTGTTGCCAGATGAATTAATGAAACCAGAAGTGACCATCAAAGCATCTCCTTGAAATATCAGTAGCTGGTCCAGGACTATCGTGTTACCAAGTTTGTGGGGTGAAGCAGGGAGAGAAGCCATAAAGGCAGGTCTGACTTCACGAGCAGATGTAAAGCTTTTCCTCCCAGCGTCCCACAGAGGAGGCGATGGCTCGGTGGCCAGCAAGCACAGCTCGTCTACTCCAGTATTTTTCTTTTCTGTACTCACGCTGATTTCTTGTTCATTCTGTTAGCTGAACTGAATTAAGAAAAAAATCAGATCCAAGAAGCGCTATTTACATATTTTACGAAGTAAAAGAGAAGTCAAAGGTATCGGAGGAACCTGTTTTTGTGAGGGATTCAATCCTATAAATCATTAATGGGCATCATTGTTTTCCTTGGCCTGTATCCTAACGGAAAGGATGGGTGGAAATGAATGTGTTCTTCTAGTTTAAAGCTGGAAAAGTCTTAAATGCATCCTCTGAGGCACCTCTGCACAGCACCTCTTGAGGGATGCTGAATGTTGTAGTTCGTATAGTGAAAAAAACCACGGTTTATTCTAGGTTTTTTCTGAGCATACTCGTCTTCCACCTCCATTTTGCTAGGTACCTCCTGCAGGTCATAAAATCGGGACTACTCTCCCCATCCGTGCTCTAGTTATCCATCAGCCCAGCTGCCAAAGAGCCCTTTCAGGTACTAGAATTCACCGCTGGATCACACGTGCCAGATCATCAGATTTGTAGTGACAGATTCTGGATTGAGACAGACTCCACCGCGGGAGCTCCGCAGTTGCCCGGAGAAAACCACAGTGTTTTAGCTTTCGCTTTGCCTTTCTCTTTCTGCAGCTCCTGTGTGAGGAGTGGGCGAGCTACGGAGTCTTTTATAAGTATCAGCCCATCGACCTAGTGAGGTGAGAACTGAGTCCTTAACGTCGTGTTTTCCCAGCGCGGCGATGGGGCTGGTGAGGTGTCCCCGCGGGAGCGCTGCCCTCGGTGCCACCCCAGGGGAGAACAGGAAGTTCACTGGGCGAAAAGGAGTTTTCGGTGGCTTTAGAAACATGCTGATGGATCCCACCCAGTGTGAAAGCTTGCAGGGGTTGTATTTATAATAAATTTTGTTTGCTCGTGGTGAGAGCTGAGACCCTCGGGGGAAAAAAATGAGGGATTTTTTTTTTATTTTTATTTTTTATTTCATTTTTTTAAGAGCATCCACTCACAAAAGATCCAAAGATACCAACTTAAAGAGCAGAAATACGGTGGGGAAAAAATGACTGGTTGGACTGACTTGCTTTCATGGTGCCTGTATCTCTGGATTAACTCCAGGCATCATGAGAAAGAGAGTCCTCTGAGAAGAAAAATTTCCCACAGGTCATCAGATCTTACTTTCTTCGTGTTTAATCCAGCTGCGATTCATAATTTTAGCTATGTTATATTTTAAGAAATAGGAAACTTTTCTCTGTCTCATTTCTTTTTTTAACGTATTTCAGAAAATACTTTGGAGAGAAGATTGGACTATATTTTGCCTGGCTGGGAGTTTATACGCAAATGCTTATTCCAGCGTCAATTGTAGGGATTATTGTTTTCCTATATGGCTGTGCAACTGTGGATGAGAATATACCAAGGTAAAATAAATAACTAAATAGATTCGATTATTGGAGGCCACTAGAAAGTCAAAGGGGCTAAGAGCGGGCAGTGGAACGGCAGCACGGTTTCAAATCGCCAGCGTTTATTGTTAATATATTACTTGTGGAGTTTGCATTGATGTGCTTAAAATAATTCTTGGCCAGTTGCTCCGGTGTTGGGTTGTTGTTTTTTTCCTTAACTCAGATCATTATGTTAAAGCAAACCAACAAAACACTGGTAATGATCGGGCTTAGCACTTCCCATCATAAAGCGCTGGGGGCGGCATTGTGTGACAGAAAGATGAACCAAGAATATACATGCCTAAAATAACCAACTGTGGTCAGATTAAGAGAATCTTGCCATTCTACTATTTTTAAACCATATAATTTTGCATTATTTGCCGTGCATGGATCGTCAGCTCTAGATGAAAATTTCTTAGTTTGTAGAGCAACCATGAGCCTTGAGTAACAAAGCAGATAATGGGTATCAAAAAATAGATTTTTTTGTTGTTCTTGTTCATTAAGGTTGTTTTGTATTGCTTTCAACAGCTGAAGAAAGCCAAAGGGAGAATCACTGTTGCTATTTCAGAGGTGGATTGCATAGAAGATAAATTGGTTAACTCCAGTTTCTTGATTCTCAGTGCTTCCCCTGTACCTTATCTGTTGCTGTGGTTCCAAACAAGAACTATTATTATTTGTTTCTTCTGTAAGATCCTATAGTAAAAAGCATAGAGCCTTATGCCTCTCATAATGCTCTCTTATTCCCTGGAAGAGAAGTAGGGCTGGGGATGGAGGGGGACAGCAACCTTGCATGAGCTGGGAAGTGCCATGAGGGTGGTACCTGATGGTCCCACAGACCAGGAGCAGCTGCTGGACAGAGGAGAAAAGATGAGAAGAGGGAAGATGGAGCTCTACTCACTGTGGGTTTTTCCATGTCTTGTTGTTACGTTGCAGTATGGAAATGTGTGACCAGAGAAACAATATCACGATGTGTCCCTTATGTGACAGAACGTGCAGCTACTGGAAGATGAGCTCCGCTTGCGCAACTGCTCGCGCAAGTCATCTGTTTGATAACCCTGCAACGGTCTTCTTCTCAGTCTTCATGGCTCTCTGGGGTAAGAAGATATATGCCTTCATGTTAAGTTTTTAATTATTTAAAATGCAACAGGAAGAAACAGAAGAGATAAAGCAGTGTATTTATATTTATACTCAGGCAGTTAATTATATAAAGAACTTTTTTTTTTTTTTTATTTGCCATGAAACTGTCACCCCCAAATTTATATTCTGGACTGAAGGCTAAAATTCAAAAAGTTGCTCAAGATGAATATCAAATGAAATTGTTAAGCATCTGTCATAAAACTGCTGTGTGGTATGTCAAAATTTCATTAACGGGATTGCACAGCTTGCCAAAAAAAAAAAAATCGACTTGCAGAGCCAGCTTCCACTTTAGATTGTTATAGAAGAAATGTATTAATGTACTCTGGGGTTGAGGGGAGAGCTCCGCAGGGAAGTGTAATGGCCTTTAGCGTCTCAGGACAAACCGAGATTGAGTCTTGAGTGTGATCTGAGATGCAATTAAGTTTATCAGCAGAAGACATTGTGAATGTAAACTATGAAACTGTGGGATTACTGATATTTTTTTTTCTGATGCTGACTGCCCCCATACTTTGAGCACGTCACTTAACCTGTCTTGGCATGGTCTTCTTAACCTGTCTTCTGCAAGTCTGCAGAACTTGGTTAAAACACTGAAACTCCTCATGAAATCTTTTTGAGTGTGTCTTCAGGACCGGTTATTGAGGGCTTTTCTCCTCCATGCTGGAGGAGGGATGGGGACCTCCTTGCTCAGGCACCTCAGCATCAGGCACCCTGGAGGAGAGGAACCTCCTGCAGGCCAAGAGGGGCTTTTCAGATCAACAGGAACCGATGGGCTCCAAACGCCACGTTTGTAACTGGGAGCCCTATACCCAGAGGCTGCAGGGAATAGGGAAATCTGCGTTATTCCCCCCGGTTTTGGAGTTCGATGGCCACATAGTCCCAGCATCAGTGAGAGCAGCCCAAGACGATGTTTGTCCCTCCTGTACGCCTTGTTGCAAGTTAGCAAATACCCTTTTTTTGGATTATATTTAATCATAAAACCATAGCCCAAGCCTTTATTTGTTCTAGTATGCAGGGAACTGTTTTTACATTAACATCCATCTGACCCGATTTTAGTGCAATTCAATGTAATTCAACTTAGAGCAGCTGCTTTTTGACCATGGCCATTTGAGATGACTGTGTTTTACAGCTAAGAGCTAATGAGCTAAGACCTTATTACCGAATATCATAAGGAAAAGTACAAAGAAGGTCCCAGAGAGGCATTTCAGGAGCAGTGGGGAGTTGGGAACACTGAGGTTTGGAGGGAAAGCTGGGAAGTGGTGTGGGGAGCTTGAACTCAACCAGATTCTCAGCAGAGAGAAGGGATCAGTGTCTCACAGATCATCTTGCCATGTAGCATATAGGGAGAAACGTGATATATCCCAAAGCAGGATGCAGTGTCAGAGACTTTAAATAGTCTGACTCTCTCACGTAGAGAGTCAAGTATCAGTTTCGGTCTTCCTCACCATTATTATGAACCCCACGTGGATCTCGGCACCTAACGTTCCACGGCCCAAAAAGCAGTTTTAGAGGGGAGTGTGAAATTCCTCAAGTTCTTTGGCATCAGCGTAAAATTTTATTGTGGTACAATGCCATTTAGAATAATTGTTTCAGAAAGGTCTTTTTGAATTGGTAGAATCAAAGTTTTGAATTTTGCAGATTTTGATTCTGCAGGATTTGTCAAAACAATTTTTTTTAAAAAAGGAAATGAGCACTTGATTTTTTAAGGAGATAGTGTAAAACAAAATTGCCTGTCTCTAAACGTAGGCACACGTAGGCTCCAGTGCTCTTTGTGAGCACCTCTGCATATAAGGAGAAGTTTCATTTACAGCTGGAGAGTTGAGGAGGAGGAGACCCAAGTAACGCTCAGGGCATCCTTAGCATAGCAAGAAAATTACCCCAAGTTCAGGGGTGTTCTTGTGAGCAACCACTTGGTCAGGCTTTCTCTGTGTGGCGGTGTTGTTGTAACACCCTGGAGAACTCCACTCACGCTTTAAAACGGCTCTAACGGTGAGCTGGGCTCTGGTCAGAAGTTCAGCATTGGACGTGGGCTGCAGCCCAGTGCTCTTCGATATTATCTGGACAGCAACCTTTGGGAATTTTTAAGCCTTGCTTCTGCATACGGGCCCCAATGAAATATGAAGAAGCAGGTACACCTGGCAATGCCGCGGCGCCACCTCGGCACGTTCGCTAAGGGCTTCTGAAACGAGCCAGCTGCATTCCAAACGCAGCCTTTCCACGTGGTGTTGCTGCAAGTCGGTGCCACGGAAGCATTTCTGGTAGCACCAAGAACCAACGTCTCGCTCACGTTCCATATTTCTCACCGTGCGCAGAAGCTGCAGACCCCAGCATGAGAACCAACCCTGGTGGGGAGAGGAGAGGCAATTCCAGGACAGATCCTTTTAAAAGCCAGCTGTGGCCGTCTGCATTTACAGGAGGCCATGGGGGTGTCCTTTCTTCTCTATTCAACTTTCTTACCGTCCTCCTGCCCTCGTTTTTTTTCTGGATATAACATCCGAGGCACAAACACAAACTGGGCACAGAG